TACAGGCCGTAGAAAGCCTGTCGAAGTTCCGTTGAACTGCTTTCGTTGACACCCCGGAGGTAAAAGTCGGTCACATTATCAGCATTTAATCCATGAAATAAGTCATCTATATTAACCACCGGTCGGTGCGCTTAGGTTTGCTAAACCAGTGCCTCTTAAAACACCAAAAAATGTATGTTTAATCTAATGACTAATTTCACAAAAATATACTGTACTCATAAATGTGTCTCTTTGTAATATAGGGTATAATTTACGGCACAAATCGTGGACACAGTTGTGTGCAAATGGAGTCCAGAATGACTGCTCGGGAAGAGAGTCTAAATATCACACAAAGTGAGGACTGTTTGGTACTAAACATATGGACACCTAATATGGGAAACAATACCTCATCAAATGATACATCACTCAAACCTGTAATGTTTTGGATACATGGAGGGGCTCTCACTATGGGATCAATAGCTATGTATAATGGCAGTGTTTTGGCCACCAATGATGTGGTGGTTGTGGCCGTGAACTACAGACTCGGATGGTTTGGGTTTATGTATGGGGATCGGGAGGACGCGCCCGGAAATATGGGATTTTATGACCAGTTATTAGCTCTCAAATGGGTTTGAGTCTATTGGTTATTTTATATAAATTTTATACAATTTTATTTTAAACATATATTAATTTATCGTTATATTAGGTGAGAGATAATATCCATTTGTTTGGTGGGGATGGGGATCATATCACTATATTTGGTGAGAGCGCCGGCAGTTGGTCCGTATCGGCACATATATTGTCTCCCCTATCAAAGGGTCTGTTTAAGAGGGCTATTATGCAAAGTGGAGCACATTTTTACAACAAGGATAGGGATGTGATCACGAAATCTGAAGCTTTACTAATGGCTAAAGAGTTAGCAAATCGATTGAATTGTAGTGACTCTGATAATTGGCTCAAATGTTTGAGAGGGGTTCACATTCAGGATATACTAAGCTATCAATTTAATCATACGAGACATGTAATACATATAAATGAGATGAAGGCTAGTTGGGCTATATTCCCGGTGTTGGGTACAAAGTTTATGCCATTTTCGGCGCAAAAGACATTTGCAAACAAAATATATGATTCAGGTTTTGAAACGATTATTAATAGAATATTCTTTATTATAATTAATAATATATTTTAATATAGATATCGATATAATGGCTGGAATTACAAAGAATGAGGGGTCGATGCTATCGGAAATGTTTCTGGGAGTACCAGAAAATTTAACCCAGAATCTATTTAAGGAATTAGTGGTTAATATAGATGACTTATTTCATGGATTAAATGCTGATAATGTGACCGACTTTTACCTCCGGGGTGTCAACGAAAGCAGTTCAACGGAACTTCGACAGGCTTTCTACGGCCTGTACGGTGATCTCTTTATCAATTGTCCGACTTATCTGTTCACTAAACAAATGGCTAAACATATGATGAATAAACAAAACGTTTATTTCTATGAACTCACGTATCAAATGTCACTATTTGTAGAAATGTTTGGTTTGGATGAGGAGACTGTGGGTATTATTCACGGAGCGGATATACCCTTTGTGTTTGGTATGCCTGTCCTTCAATCAGAATTTTTTACACCAGAAGACGTCGATTTTAGTAGACTAGTGATGAAATTGTGGACTAATTTCGCCAAATATGGGTATTTGCTAATTGATAACATTATTTTGAGACACTCTCATTCGTTAAGGCTATAAGATTTTTGAATATGTTTTATCTGGAAACATTAATTATTATTTTTATATGTATAGCAAACCGGATGAACAATGGCCTAAACTATTGGGCGATAATAATTTGATTTCAGTGAGGGATTTGAACCCAGGTCATATGGATCGGGTATATTATAATCCCTTTAACACAACCTGTGATGGATTTTGGAAAGACTATTATTTGTAAAATGAATCTCCATGTTTTATTAATTAAATAGATATTTTTTAGCTCAAAATTAATATAGTTTAGTTTATTATTGTTATATCTATTAATATTTTAACGATTTTATTTATTATGATATTACATTAAAATAATTATATAATATTTTTATTTCAATTTGATTTAATAACATGAAATTATGTTTATGCATGCAAAATTTAATAGTATTGTTTGAAATATAAAATAATAATAATAAATATATCTAATTTAATTGATTGCAAAATTTTAGTAAACATAATTAAATAGATCGTTATTTGTACTTTTGAATTAATTATTTTGCACTAGTTAATATAAATACCAAAATTATTATTAATATAATATTTAGTATTAGATACATTATTATAAAGTACTACATATTGATTTTATCTAAAACTTTTTCATATTATATTTTTAACATGGTCAACACATTTATTGTCAAAACATTGTTATTATATTATCGCATACATGGCATTACATTTGGGGGACTTGTGGTTAAGACAAATATTTGTCAAAATAAATTCATAAAATAT